GCGATGAATTTTCGTCGCCAGACGAGATGATTAAGGATATGAAATCAGTCATTTATGAGCCGCTCAATCATCCCAACGCTGCTGCTTGATTGAAGAAATGTCCCTTTTTATGTGTAATGAAGAGATTTTTTTTTTAAAATTTTTTTTTTCCGTTTTGCAAAATCCACTTTGTTACTATGTGGGGAATCCATGAAACTCTACAATTTTTTTTGAAAAAGAAGGATATATTACGGCAATCAACAGGAAACATTACTATCTTTTGCAGTAATTTTTTGTCTACTTCACAACCATAAATTGATGAATACATTATTATCTCTGTACAACTTTTATGATTAAACTGCTACAAATAAATACGAGGAATTAGCGACAGATGTGGCAGTAATCGGGGGATGTATTTCTTCAGTCTTTAGTAACAAATTACTCCTTCTACGTTTTATATCTACTCTTCGACATTGTGTGTTATACACGCTATAAACTGAGCCATGTCTGGTACACAGCCTGAAGAAAAGTCCAAGGGTCAAAAGACCTGAAGATCATCTACAAGTCAAAGCTTTGCTATAATGATAACATGAAATTTCCTATTTCTTTTGAATTTTCCAAAAAAAAATAAAAATTTAAAAGAAAGATAAGGGCATAGTTGAACTAATGATTATACGTTAAAGACCAAGTAATTTTCAATCTTCATTAGCTTTCGAAATTATTGAGAACACTATATTAGAGTCTTAGCCATTGGCAGATGAAGGTTTTGTATTGGAAACTAAAATGTTGCTCTTGAAAATAAAAAATCTTGAATATTGTTTTAATTTTTTGAGCATTTTGATATGTTATTACCTCATGTCTATCTATATAAACAAGTTGTTATTGAAGTGATTTGTTTCGTGAGTGAAATGTGTTAAACAATCCAAAGAAATAAAGAAAAAGAAGAGGAGGCTAGAGTTTCATTGATTCTGCATAATGCAATTGAATACAAAAAGATAATATAACCTAGATACAAATAGACTATATATATAGGCTAAACAAAGGAAACTAAAAAGACTATTATACCCTTAATAAACCAAAAAAACCTTATATTTCTTAACATCTCCCCTCAAACTCACGATGTGGCAGCTACATGCATCGAGAGTTTGTGAACTAGAAAATGAAAATGGAAAATAGAATGCGA